AGAATCTTTGTCTTTTAGTCCCCAGCCACAGTGCTCACTCAGACGAGGACTGGGCTTGGTCTCAAGTCACAAAGGCAAACCCGGGAAGAAGGAAAAGGAGCCCTGGGCTGCTGACACATCTTAGATCTGGGTGCTCTGTTTGAGATTTCTGACAGCAAAAGTGAGAAAGAAGCCAGATGCCATGAGGGTCAGTGTCATTGGGAAGAGAGCTGGCAGTTGAGAGCCAGATGGCCTTAGGGTTCCAGCCTCAGCTGCTGTTACTACTGTGGGACCCCGGCAAGTCACTTCCCAGTACTGGAGTTTCCCCATATGTACAATGGAGAGAATACTAGTTCCTGCCCACTAAGGCTGCCTCAGGGAGGGGTGCCATCACTTAGAAGAGGCCGGACATAAGAATCAACACTCCCGGGTCCACATGAGCCCTGGGTGTAGATGAGTCAAACTCTTTTGCAGAGGAGCAGACCCCTGGATTCTGGACTCTGGCTCTGCAGGGAGGGGCAGAATGTAATGCACTGAGAATCCCTCCCTGAGCAAACGAGAGTTCGCAGCCAGGCCTCCTCTGTAAACAGCTGGCACCTATGCCAGCCCAGGGGCACTAGAACCCACAGATGGGTGGGTGGTGTCCACTAATGGCTCCTTGGGCTTTTCGTAAATCAACACTATCAAAGCAAGACGCAAACACAGCCTGGCCTGTTACAACCAGAATGGTTTTTCCACCCCTCCTGGGGCATTAGTTGCAAATGCTATTTCTGGGCCTTTCTTCAGCATCCGACCTACTTCTGGTTACTGATCAACCCTAAACTGCACCCTTCCTGGGTCATTTACTACTCATTGTTATTGTTATGACCAGGCCCTGCCCTTCTAAAGTGCTTGGGCTTTCTCACCTGAAATAACAGAAAAAGAATCACCACCTTCAAAGACAGGAAATTGAGGACCAGAGAAGGTTATGCTCCCAGCCCCCCACCCTCACCCCTCGGTTTTGAGCCCCAGCTCCTTCGACTACAAAATGGGAATGTTGGCCCGCGCGACTGACTATAAAGGCCCCGAATGCAACGAGGGAGGGAGAAGGATGCTGGCCTGACCCAAGAAGGGCGAGCCTCTGGCCTACTGGCTGTCAGATTGGAAAGGCTGAGAACCCCTTCAAGCCACAGAGCGTCTTTGGATGGGAGAAAGGAGCAGGCTGAGGTCTGGGGTGGAACGCCAGAGTGGGGGGGTCAGCTTCTGCTGGGCCCCAGCCCAGAGCCCAAGGCCTGCGCCGCTTGGTTCCCAGACCCCACCGGCTGTCCCTTGCTGCTGCTCCCTGCGCTGCCCGCGGGTCCTCTACTGCTCCCTGGCGGCCGCAGTGTGCAGCGCCGACTCCAGCGCACGAAGCCCCAAGTGCGTCCGCGGCCCCCGCCTCCTGGGAATAACTGGCCAGAGGAACTGGCATTGGAACTCTCAGCCGAGGACTGAAAAAGATACGGTACGCCCAAGCACCCAGAAAATACTGCTGCTATTACGGGTTACTATCGTTATTTTCTTGGGAAACAAGTCTAAAAAAAGTGAGTGTACGTGGGCGGGTGTGTTGTTAGGTGGGGGTCCTCGCCCGGAGTTACAGAGGGTCAGAGGCACAGCCAGGACCAGAACCCCGACGATCGGGCAGCAGCTGTGCCCAGTCCGGCGTAAGAGCGCAGGATCCGCAGGGCCTGGACTCAGTTTCTTCCCCGCGCCCAAAGGGCAGACGCGGTGCAGCAGCTGGCTGAGGCCCGGAGGGCGGGGAGGCAGCAAGGGCGCCCGCCGGGCGTGACGCAGCGAAGCTGGGAGGGCGCGGGGCGGGGGAGGGCGGGGCGACCTCGAGAGCTGCATATAAGTGCCGCGGCGGTCGCAGTGAGGCGGACAAAGCTGTTTTAGCCTGAGAGTCTAGGAGCAGCGGAGCTACGCCAGAGACTCAGCCCAAGCAAAGCCCGGCCAGAGCAAAGGTCTCTGGCCGCCCAGCGCCGCTTCGCCCGCAACCCCGGCCGCTCTTCGCGCTTCTCCCGCCTCGCTTCCGCCCTCGCGGAGGGTCTGCGCCCCCTGCCCAATGAAACTGGCTGCGATGATCAAGAAGATGTGCCCGAGCGACTCAGAGCTGAGTATCCCGGCCAAGAACTGTTACCGAATGGTCATCCTCGGCTCGTCCAAGGTGGGCAAGACGGCCATCGTGTCGCGCTTCCTCACAGGCCGCTTCGAGGAAACCTACACTCCCACCATCGAGGACTTCCACCGCAAGTTCTACTCCATCCGCGGCGAGGTCTACCAGCTCGACATTCTCGACACGTCCGGCAACCACCCGTTCCCAGCCATGCGGCGCCTCTCCATCCTCACAGGTAAGCGGGGAGCCGGCTCAGCCGGCCGGGAAGAGGGGTGAGGACTCTTAGACTAGGGCCGTCCGGCAAAGGCTGGGCTGGCAGCGCGGTCCGTGGGCTGGCGACTGCACGCCGAGTTTTGCGCTTTCCACTTGGAGAGGTCAGCGCCCCTCGCGCGGCTGCAGGAGCCTCTTTGGCAGTTCCCTCACCTTTTCCCTTTCTGTCCCCTCCACAGGAGACGTTTTCATCCTGGTGTTCAGCCTGGACAACCGCGACTCTTTTGAGGAGGTGCAAAGGCTCAAGCAGCAGATCCTGGACACCAAATCTTGCCTCAAGAACAAAACCAAGGAGAACGTGGACGTGCCCCTGGTCATCTGCGGTAACAAGGGGGACCGGGACTTCTACCGGGAGGTGGAGCAGCGTGAGATTGACCAGCTAGTGGGCGACGACCCCCAGCGCTGCGCCTACTTCGAGATCTCAGCCAAGAAGAACAGCAGCTTGGACCAGATGTTTCGCGCGCTCTTCGCCATGGCCAAGCTGCCTAGCGAGATGAGCCCAGACTTGCACCGCAAGGTGTCGGTGCAGTACTGCGACGTGCTGCACAAGAAGGCGCTGCGCAACAAGAAGCTGTTGAGGGCAGGCAGCGGTGGGGGCGGCAGCGACCCCGGCGATGCCTTTGGCATCGTGGCGCCCTTCGCGCGCAGGCCCAGCGTGCACAGCGACCTCATGTATATCCGTGAGAAGGCCAGCGGCGGCAGCCAGGCCAAGGACAAGGAGCGCTGCGTCATCAGCTAGGAGCCCCAGTCCCGCCGGCTGGCGATGCAACCCAGCCCGAGGAGGACCTTTTTGGTTGAAAAATAAAATCCGACTCCCCGGCCAGCCCTTGTGCCTCGGGCCTCAAGAGCGCCCGTTGTGGTGTCTTCCCTCCCCAGACCAGGCCTGCGCATTGGGAAGGCGCCACCTGAGAAGGGACAGTCATCTGTTCTGGAAGCAAAGAACTGGCTAAGACTGGGACTCTCGCACCTCTGACCCTCCTCCATTGGCGTCCCCACTCCCACCACAAGGGGGGACCGGGTACAGTAGAGGGGGATCTGTCCTCTTTTCCTCAGAGACCTGAGAATGGGAGTGGGTGCGGAGAGGGAGTGAAGTTCATCATCCACTGTTAGGCGTCAAGTAACCATCCGGCCCCTCTCTGATTCGGTGGGGTCAGGACAAACGGGGCATTATCTCATCTGTGATTCCACATTGCCAGGAGGCTGGCCAAAGCCTCTGCCCTCCAGAAACTGAGGAGGGTGTGGGTCAAATCATAGCCAAATGACTTGTTTACATGTGTGTGTGTGTGTGTGTGTGTGTGTGTGAAATTGCACAAGGAAAAACAAAACACAAAACTTGCACTTTAATAGTAGTTCTGGTGTCAACATGGACATGAACAAACTCTCCAAACTCTCCAAACTCTCGCGTTTATACTGTGTGGGGTCTTTAAAGTTATTATTGTGGTTGGTTTTTTGATATAAAATAAAATAATTTAAAATGAACAGCTGGGCTTTCTTTGCTCTTAGATAGGGCTGTTGGGGTGGGGGGTCCTGCTTCTGCAGCCCTGGGCCTCACCTCCAGAATTAAAAAATAACCCTGTCTCTCTGAAAATAGCTTCTGGCTTCCTGGGAGAAAGGGCTCCAAAGTAGCTCCAGACGACTAGATTAATACAGAATCAGGACAAACAAGGGACTTTAGGGTCTTCCCTGAAGATCATTCTACCATTTACTTGCTTAGTCTTTAGGCCTCCTCACAGGAACATTCTTAATCTCTTTTGTTTTAGTGATCACTAGACTTGAGGCACGCCTAGGGTACAGGTTGTTAAGCTCAAAACTCAAAGATTGTTGGATGTGTTATTTAGGCCCAGTTGTTACACAGAAGGAAATGGAACCCAAGAAGACCAGTGGACCTTTGTTCCCTTGATCCAATATTGTCACACTACTGGAGACAATTAGAATCCCATGGCCTCGGGCTCCCTCCAATTTTTAGAGAGACTTGCTGCCCCCAGTGGGGTCCAATGGGCCCCTGTGCTGACTCCCTTTTGGTGATTAGGGGCACCTGCTTGTGACTTGTGACCTAATTCTCCCTGCCACCTCTAATTGTGCAAACCTGAGGCCAGCAACACCTTCCATGCCTCCAATTTATCATCTAAGAAATACAGAGAAGGCCCCTCTTCGTGGGTTACTGTGGGGATTAAGTGTGTTGTTTGAAAAGTACTTAGCACAAGTGCCTGCTGCTCAGTAATCCAAATAATTGGTGGCTCAAGAGGGTGCTCAGCCCTGTGAGGGACACTCAACATTGTCCCAGGCGAAGGATTTCACCTTGCTCTGGAGAGAGCTGCTCTCAGCCAGGACTGGTCCTCCTCAAATCACTAACAGACACCCACCCCTTAAACAAAGGGTGGTCCCAGGCCCTCCAGGGCAGATGCTGGGACATGTCACCATTCCCTGAGCAGAAGCCATTCTGTGTTACACTGGCTTAACTGGTTAGGTGCTGGGTTAGGAGTGAGGGAAGGAACAAGGATCTTCCAGGATCGTTTTGTGTCCAAGCCAAGTGAGCAATTTGAACTAATCAAGAGACATCTACTCCGAATTCCTCATAAAACCCAGGATCCCAGCACGGCAAAAATAGACCATAGTGTGCTGATAGCAGAATGTAACTTTTTAATTATACATTTGAAAAACATCTCAAGTCAAAACTGGAACACGGGGGTTTGTTTCCCTCTACCTCTCTGAGGAGACACTATCCATTTCAGCCTCACAGAAAGACCTGCAAGGTCTGGACTTTTTTTTTTTTTTTTTTTGCGACAGTCTTGCTATATAGTTCAAACTGGCCTTGAACTATGTAGCCCAGGCTGGCCTTGAACTCAGTGATCCTCCGGCCTCAGCCTCCCAAGTGGGATTACAGGTGTGTACCACCATGCCCAGCCAATGCCTAGAATTTTCATATGCTTCATGCTTTATGGTATTTGGTCAAAGCCTTAAAACTGGCCCAACCACTACTGTAAATTGCAAGAAAATAACTGATTCAGTTAAGTAACAATCTCAAGGTAGAACCGGTCTAACAAGTGATTACCCACTTCAACTCAGAGCCTGCTTTTCTGACCAATGAAAGCTGATATCCTCCCTCACACAACTATCTCAACATGCCAGCCATCTCCTGACAGGTGGCTACAGGCTGATGCCACTGGAATCCCTGCTATAAACACCCCAACCAGCGCTGCTACCAATGAGGCCATTGGGGGGTAGCTGCTAAGCTCCTGAACTGGGTGACATAGGCTATGAGCCCATTTCTAGAACTAAACAATGCTCAGTCACTTCTCCTTTGTCCTCAGGAACAGGGGAAGGCACTGCTCTCACCTCAGTATGACAGCCACAGCGAGGATACGAACATCACCTATTTGCAAGAAACCAGCGGCATTGGGGGACAGTGAGAATATATGTGAACACCTAAGAATGAGAAGTTGGCCACGTAGCTTGCAGGTCACACCATCCCATCAGCACTGACCCAGAGCTGTCCTGGACACCTGGCTGATGGACCACCCCACTGGCACTAGAGCCGTGATTCTCTAAGCAAAAAGCACAATGGAAACCCTTTGCAGGGCAGCAAGTGCAATCACTCTTTGCTGAGGCAGCCAGAGAAGAAATAATGTTCTAAACCAGGGCAACGGGGATCAGAGAGATGTGCCTACTTAAATCCCAACTGTACCTGCATGGGAACAGGGGCCCTCTCCATCCCCAGGAAGCACTGCATTGGGGGTGGTTGGCTATTCTTGGGCCCTATGATTGCAGGAGACAAAGGATGCAAGAGCCGGCTGTAAGGACACAGCGTAGGAGGGAGCCTGAAGTCAGCGGCCGCCTGCCAGGGATCTGGGCTGATACCCCATGGACACAGTTGTTCACTGGCTCAAATACAAACGGAACCAAACTGCTTCACAGGGAAAAGCCACCCACCCTCTGGCCTTTCAAAACAGTGTTCATTTCTCACAGCCTTCTTTAATTCTGTAAATTCATGCCATATGCATGCAGACCTAATTCAACTAGTGAATTCTATGCAAATGCTTCATGAAACTGCCGCTAATGGGAACAATATGTACCTGGTACACCCTGATCCTACTGGGGGCGGGAGGAGCCAAGGGCAGGAGTCAAGCAGGAGCTGCCTCCTTTCCTACTGTGCTCTTCAGAGCAGCTGGTGGGCCCAGGGACAACAGATGGCCCCTCTCCAGAGACAGGGTGAAGTCCTCCCCCTCCCCTGCCTCAGGAACATTCTTGCAGCAGTAGGCACTCAGAGTGGAGATGCACAAGACACATGTACACATATAAGCTGGGGGCTGATGCCCACATAGTCAAGACCAAGTTCAGCTAACGAGGCAATACATCAGCCCCACTTGGCTGCAATTCAGATCTGGGGTTGAAGAACAGTGCCAAGGAATGTGTGAGGAGACAGCAGAGCCACTTGCCTCCTCCTTCTCTCTTAGGTAGTCCTGGAAGTTGGCTTGCTCTACTCCTTGGGGATCTCAAACATGCAGAGGCTCTTGTACTTCTGTAGAAGTTCATTCTTAGTCCTGACTTGCTCCTGAAGGCTGTGCAGTTGCTGCTGCTGCTGCTCGGGGCTCAGCTGGATGCCAGGCATGGTGCTGATGAGCTTGCGCATCTCCTGGAACTTAGTTTTGAGGGCGTTCAAGTCCTGGTGGACGTCAGGGCTGTCTTTGTCCATGCTGTGGGGCAGAGAGCAGTAATTAGCACTCCCAGCTTACTCCCAGGCCTGACTTTCCTGCTCTGCACCCTCCAGTGTCTTCCAAAAAACCTTTACTCTGTCTGCTCCCTAAATAGCTGTGTACCCTCAGAGAACAGTTTCTCCTTACTTAAGTTTTAAAAACAACCCCTCTGCCTAGCACACTTGCAAAGTCAGGACCTCAAACTGCTCTGTATCACACTGTCAGCCCCATGAGGGTGGGGCTGTGCCTGGTCACAGGCCTGTCGCCATCCCTGGCTAATGTGCAGGACACTGCAGACACTCAAGAAATCTTTGTTGAATGAACAAATTCTTGGCAAATAAATTCACAAATATGTATTGAGTGAACAAATCATTATTATCAGGTGACCAATCCCCCCTCCCGCCCCAAAACTTACAGAAATAAGTTGGGTGTGGTGGTGCATGCCTGTAATCCCAGCACTCAGGAGGCTGAGGCAAGATGATCCTCATGAGTTTGAGGCCAGCCTTGGCTACATAGTGAAACTGTCTCAAAAAACAACCAACCAGCCTTATGGAAATACATTTTATCTAATTTGTGTCATTCCTAGGCCAGAGACTTTGCCAGCTAGCAAGAACTAATTTTAGCTGAAGTTTTGATGCTTGCTTGAACTGTAAAGTTTCCATAGACCTGTTTATAAATTTTAAATCACTTGCAAGGTACTGGAAATTTTCAGCATATATAGGATATATATGCCTTCAGGTCAAGTTCATTTTGTTGTTTTTTTTTTGGTACCGGGGATCAAACTCGGGTCCTTGTGCTTGCAAAGGTCAAGTTCATTTTGAAGTGAGCATTCACTTTATCTCACAGCTATTACTAGCCACATACAGATCAATGATCCCCTGCAACGACCAAATTAAAACCAAAACAAGAATGAAAACTCCCACCTAATATCAAAGAAATGGTCCATTGGTTGTGCCTATACATATTTTAGGAGTTAGTAAGTGGGTGAGGTTTGGAAAACAAACAATTGAGACTAAAAAATGAAACAGCAGGGGCCGGGGATTTAGCTCAGTGGTTTCACCACCTGTTGCGCAAGCACAAGGACCCAAGTTTGATCCCCGATACCAAAAAAAACCCAAAGAACCAGCAATTCATTAAGATGTTTTAAAAGGAAGCCACTGAAGCGTAAGAGGGAAAACTGTCAATGATTATTGTTTTTTAATAAACATTCATTCTTACTGGGAAATTTCACCCCAGGTGGTGCAAATTCATGCTTATTATTCATCATTTCTCTGCTTACGCAGACAAAATATCCATCTTCCCTGGCAGTCTGTCAGCTATGTTTCACACCTTGCATATCAGCCAGACACCAGGGCCTGTTCACTATTATCAATAGCTCTAAGCTCAGAGGCAGGATATAAAGCATCAGTCATTTCTTCCACAGAATGATTGGCCAGCCAAACATTACTTATTGTCACTGGATGCCCTCAATTTAGAAACACAATTAATGGCATACCTTAATTCAGTTGCTAGGGTGGTATAACTAGAATTCAGAACCACAAATGGTTTGGAAAGACATCTTTTTCTTTTGTTTTGCAGTGCTGGGACCGGAACCCAAGGCCTTACATATGCTAGACAAGTGCTCTACCACTGAACTACACCCTCAGCCAGGGAACATCTATTTTAAGCTCTTTTAAGTTTCAGCTCAGATCCATAAATCTGGACAGAAACCACCTGGGCTTCTAAAAGTATCACACTTGGATGGCATGTGTACTATCACACTGTTACAAATTTAAGTCTCAAGGAAGTTTTGAGGTTGAAATATAGTTTTAAGAAAAGTGATTCACATCACATGAGCCTGGAGAGATGTGATATAAACAAACAAAATACATGTAAAATTAAAATGTGGGAGGAATTTATCCTGTAGTTTTGGGGGTTTTTTTGGTACCGGGGATCGAACTCGGGACCTTGCACTTGCAAGGCAGGCAGTAGAACCACTGAGATAAATCCCCAGCCCTTAGGGAGAAATTTATCCTGACACAGTTGCTGAAGCAAACAGAACCAGGACCAGAAGAAAACTTAGCTCTGAAAACAGGAAGTGGGCCATGTAAGATGCTCATTTTTGAAATCTCCCAAAGCCCATGGTTGCCTACTCTTTTACCTGGTGAACTTTTGGGAAAGGAGGCTGAGTCTTCATATAAGAAATAGAGATTAAAAAGCTGCCTGGGGGGAAGGGAGGGAGCTGAGCTGAAAGGGGGCCCCTGTGTGAGCTGCTTACCTACCCTAGTTGGTAGCAGTAAATAGCACAGAAGTCCTGGGGTGAGGAAAACACACTATTTAGGAACTGGCTTGAACCAAGTGGGAACCTGCTAAGCTAAGCTGACTGTAAAATACCCAAGCATAAAGAAAAGGAGCAGGCCCAAGTGCTGAGTGAACAACAGCAGAGCACTCTAAATGGATCTGCCTTTGTGCTTGATATTAGTCATCATCCAACTTTAGAAGGAGAAAAAGGATACTAGGTCAAGAAAGATGAAAACTGTACAAACAAGGACAAAGTTTGGGCACTTTGGTTCCACATTCTTACTTTTTTTTTTTACGAGTAGACAAAAATATGACTGCTCTGAGTGATACCTGGAGCATCCTTCTTCCAGTAGGTAGCACAGACATATGGGTTTGACTCCTGGGCAAACAGCACAGACTTAGTTGGGTGCATGTAAGAGCCATGCTCCTATTTTCTTTGTTCTTTTGTTTTGTTTTTCTTAGCATAGGTGCTTTAGCACAGATACAGCTGTCAACAACCAGGCAGTGTGAGCCCTGGCAATTTAGGACCAAAAGGAGCCCAGGGGACTGACTGAAGCCAACCTCTTCCCAAACCTAACAGTTACTTCTTTTGGCCTCTGGTGGCATCTGAATTGGTTTCACATATCCTCCTCCAAACGTCCATCCCCCTCACATCCCTACTCTGTCCCAACTGACTCACCCTGGGACTAGTGCCTCTCAGCTCTCTCCCCTGCTTATAGTGTCTCTTCCCACCGGGCTAACTCCAGTGGCTTTTATCTTTCCAAAATCATTTTTTGTCTTAAATATTAGTATGTACTTTAGAAAAAAAAATTAAAAGTAACAGACATCAACCAAGGCTTAGAAGAGGGTAAATCTCTTTAATCCCAGGTCCCAGAGATAACTTTTGTTAACATGTGATACACTATTTCAGATTGCTTCAAAATATACAACATAAAAATACATGCATATTTTTGTTATTTGTTTTGATAGAAATGTAATCATACGTGGTTTTGATTCTTGCTTTTCTTCATTTAACAATGAGCCTCAAAGGTCTATGTTTAGCACATACACAATTACACAGGTAAATTACTTGTTGGTGGTTTGGAATGTTTGTAATTTGTCAGAATGGCAATGAACATTTTGTACTTATATCTTTACGTATTTATGCAAGTATTTTGATGAGATAATTTCATAGCAGTGGGAATTTTGGATTGAAGTAAGTTTATTTACTTATTTCAATATTGGGAATTGAACCCAGGGCCTCTCCCATGCTAGGTAAGTGTTCTACCAGTGACCAACATCCCCAGTCTTTATTTATTTATTTTTTTAAGACAGGGTCTCATTACGTAGTTTAGGCTGCCCTTGAACTCACCATGTAGCCCAGGCTGCCCTCAAACTCATGGCGATCCTCCTGCCTCAGCCACCTAAATGCTGGGATTACAGGTGAGCACTACCACACCTAGCTCCCCAGTTCTTTTTAATTTTGAGAGAAAGTTTCACTGAATAGCCCAGGCTAGCCACCATGCCCAGCTAAGGTTATGTATTTTTTAACAGATATTACCAAAATGTCCTGAGCTGGATAGTGATATACGCCTATAATCTCAATTACTCTGGAGACTGGGGCAGGAGGATTGGCAGTTCGAGGCCAAGCTTGAAAAAAGAAAGTGTGACCCACACCTCACAACAAAATAAAGGCCTCTGAAAATGTTTTACTAACGTACAACTGTGTAGCTATGGACAACAGGCTATCCTCCCTCCCTGGACCACACCAGCTCTTCCTCATCTAGCAACTGTTTTTCTCTACTCCAGTTTTACAGCACCCAGGGGGCCTCTGGAAGACCCTTTGGAATTCACACCCTTGCTTTCATCTGCTAGAAGGCCTCATGTGTAATACATTCTTTTCAGGGAGGAATGATGAAAGGTTCTGCTGCTAAAGAAGTGTGAAGATATGCCACTCTACAAAATATCCCTGGGTGTGTTCATCCGCTCCTAGCTCTCTGGGTGCTACATCCACCTCCTCAGCCTGCCCTCCTTTCTGAGCCCAGCTCTCTCTTCCCAGCAGTGGCCGAGTCTAGGGAGCCCTCAAACATTCACTTGCCATCTGCTTCCTCAGCTAGAGGGCACGCCCCACCCACCCCACTGGGTAAGCTTCAAGGCTGCCTTCCCAGGCTCACTCCTGTGTGCCATCCCCATCTCCCAGCGATGAGTCCTGTCAAGTCCATCTCCCCCGAACCCCTCTAGACTGCTCCCCCTCTCACTGCCACTGCTTTCCTGGATATCCAAGACTTCCCCTCTGAATTCCTTTTCCCCACCCACCTTTAGAAACTCAAGTCTGGGCAAGTCACTGCACTTCTTGAAAATTCTAAATGGCCCTCCACCCTCAGACAATACCTGGTGGGCAAGTTCAAAACCAGTGCCACCCACTAGTGCCTCCAATCTCCCCAGGCTCAGGGGCCCCCTCTTCCTGAGTATCATTTCTCCCTGGCTGCAGTAATACTCTGACCAGCCCAGGCCCTGCCATTATGGTCCCCATAGGCCTCCTCTGCTACAGCGGGTCTCAGCTGGTGTGAGGCCCCTTGTGTGGGTAGAGGCAGGTCAGTAACACTCTGTTCCCACGGAGGAGGTCCTGCTGACCTCCTACAATCGGTGGGTGAGCTGCAAGCAGGGACAGCTCAGTGTGCTCACTTGTACTCCCTTTGTGGGGTCAAGGATGGCTCCCTTGTGTTCACCTTGTACAACCT